AATTTATTTGAAGAAAAGCCTATTCTTTAATCTCTTTGTTCTAAGGCGTGGGCACCCACACTCTACTCTAGTCTGCTGCTTTATTTTCAAACTATCTGTCAGTGTGGAGGAAAAATGCTACAACAAGAAGAATGTTTTTTTGGAGGGGGCAACATTTTGGAGAAGGCAGATTTTTCTCTGATACATATTAAATTTCTCCAGTGAACACTTGGATGTCATTGCTGCATCTGAGTGGCTTTTCTTTTCTCTTTCTGTGTTGTTATTTTTCATAGGAAATTGGGCTAGAACTTATTCATACATTAATTACTGAGTTGAGAAGTAGCATTCTTAAGTTTTACTTTTTAGCTCACTATTTCCTTATCTGTTTGGGGGAGAGTGTGTTTTAGTCTCTCCCGTTGTTTTGAGACAGACTTCTCTCAGCTGGGTCTACTGTTCTAATTATTATTATTTTAAAAAAATGTTTTTAACAGAAACAGGATCCAGAGAGTTAAGTTGGGTTTTGCTTTGTTTTGTGTTTACATTTTAACCTCTGTTAAAGTTACAAGAAAGAAAACTTCAACTTGCCTGGATGGAGGGTGCCTCCTCTTGTGCACAGATGTTGCGTTTAAATTGAGAAGCCCACAGCTGGGATGCTGTCACAGCCTAGAGACACAACTACAGTCTCTTGCATCAGCCCACCCATGGCTCCCTGCCCCCAGGGACATTGCTAAGCAAGCCTGTTCCCAAATAAGAACTTGAGGGTAAATTCATGGAGCACAGGTATCAGACATACAGCAGTTTTCCACTGCAGGGAGCCAGGGAAAAGGACCTCTCTCCCAGTGGTCTCAAACACAAATTCCTGGCACTTGCCACCTATCTGGACATCATAGCACTTTGAAACATTCATCTTGGCACTTCAGTTTGTATCTGTCATAATTTAGTTTCCCCGAAGCAGACCTTATGGCAAGGTTTCTTAAGGTCAGCAGCAGAAAGATGAGTCACGACAGTGCAAATGAGCAGCAATGCTGAGACCAGATGGGTGGCACGGGCAGCACTGATTACAACTTCACTGAGAAAAATCTCATGTGCACCTAGTCTATCTAGACTGTCAGCTCCATGAAGGCAAGTGCTGAGCTTGAGTATCAGTCTGTGTTCCACAGTGCCCACCTGGATAATAACATCATCCAAGCAGCATCCAAGCATTGTGCTGAGCACATTATAAGATCCCTGCCAATCTTCACAACAGCCCAATGGGGTATCTCCATCTTACAGATGAGGCAAGAAGCACAGAGTTAAGTAACTTGCTGAAGTGGTAGAGTCAGGATATTTAAACTCAGGCAGCCTGGAGCCTACCCTTTTGCCACTGTGGGGACCATCTCTCATGGCTGTCTGGTTAGGAATCTGAGTCTGGAAGCTTTAGAGACCATCATCACCATAACTAGAGCTGTCCTTTGTTGAATACTTCTCATGTGCCTTGTCTTGGGATAAGTGCTTTACATTTGTTATTTTGTTTTAGTTTGCTCATTGAGGCTGCTACCCCCATTTTAGAGCTAAAGACAGTGAGGTTTAGAAAGATTAAACCACACAGCTCACGAGTGGCTCTGTCGAAACTCTACCCACCAGACACCAAAGCCATGACTTCAAGATGTGACATTTTCCACTTGAGCTGCTGCAGCAGTAGCAGGCAAGTGATGACGGAAAGCAAGAAAGTTGTGTCCCCTGACTCATCTCAGAGGTAGCAGGTGGGCCAAGGGTCATTCAAGAAATGGAGGTCATTGAGGACACCTCTCCCCTAGATTCCTATCACAAACCTGGCACAATCAGGTGAGGTGGTTGCTGTTTTTTTTTTTTCCCCCCAAATAACCTTTGATAATATTCAAAGTATTTTACAGTCTGCTTCCCCTTCACCTGGTGCAGTGGCAAGGATACCGGAATACAGCCAAACCTGCCACACTTAAAGAAGTCACTATTTCAACTCACCTTTGAAAACTCTTTTCTCCCTATCTCTGCTGTATCTCTGCTCCATGCATGGGGGCAACAGTGAGGGTGCACAGTTGTTATTGCTGGTGGTGGGCTGGTGCAAGCAGGAGAAAGGGGTACCTACCTGTGTTCCTCTGAAAGGCTCGCTGGGCACTCCCTAGGTAATAACAACTGGGGACCTTCGTCTCTCTTCCTCTCTTTCCTTCACTAGCACTTTCTCCTCTTTTGTCACTCCTTTTTCCACGTCCTTTCTAGCAAAGAAAGTCCAGTGTGGTGGAACAAGGTCTGCCTAGGAAGTCAGGAGACCTTGCTAACCACAACAGTCACGGTCGCCTTGTGCTTAGCAAAGAATGATGAACACTGCATTTGAACTAGATGGCCCCAGCTCTGTGTTTCGATTGCTGACCAGCCAGGCAGCCTTTCTCTACTCCCTAGATTCCAGGCCCCAATCTGTAACAAAGGGCAGATGCATTAGATTATGGTTTTCAGCTCTTTTAAGAAAAACAATAAAACTTGCCCTGTGCAGTGTTTATAATTCTTCTTGAGCCTGTATTTTTTAAATGTTAGATTTTATATGGAAAACAATCAGTATCACTGGCATTCCTTTAGCAGTCAGATTTGGACATCCTGGACTCATGGTGCCTGTTCTTTGGCTCTGAGTTCTGGCTTCCCCTTCTACTAGAGGCATGCATTTCCCATCCAGTGCCCACACAGTTTGTCCTACAGTCACCTTGCTTTCAGGTTTGCGAGAGGCTAAGGAAGGATATAACCCCAAAGGGACCTTGGAAGTTCCTGAAGTGCACATAGATAGAGAATTTACATGTCTGCATTTTTACTTTGTGAGAAAGATGGAAAACATAGCAAAACAAAAGGCCAGCAATCACCCAGGATTGACCTTAGGGGATGGCAGAAACGATGTGCCCTGTATGTGCAATTTCTTTTTTCTTTTTTTGAGACAGAGTCTTGCTCTGTCACCCAAGCTGGAGTGCAGTGGTGCGAACTCGGCTCCCTGCAACCTCCGCCTCCCAGGTTCAAGCAATTCTCCTGCCTCAGCCTCCCGAGTAGCTGGGACTACAGGTGCCTGCCAACACGCCCGGCTAATTTTTTTTGTATTTTTAGTGGAGACGGGGTTTCACTGTGTTAGCCAGGATGGTCTCGATCTCCTGACCTCATGATCCACCCGCCTCGGCCTCCCAAAGTGCTGGGATTACAGGCATGAGCCACCGCGCCCAGCCTGTATGTGCAATTCCAAGGTGCCATGTCATGCGGGATCCCACAGGATCCTCCAACCCAGAGAGGTTCTGCTTTCCACATTGCAAGATGAGGAACCTGCAGTGCAGAGAGGTGAAATGACTTGCCCAAAGTCACAAAGCGGCGATCATCCAAGCCCAGCTTCAAACTCAGATTTGCTCACTCTTGGCCTGGTGTTCCTTCTCTCTACCTTGATTTTAATACTACTTGATTTTCAAAATAACTTTTCCCATTGTCTTATCTATCTGGCTTTTCTAACACCTTGGACAGGTGTGCAAGTCAGCTGTTCCTAAACACATTTCAACAGATGAGGACACTGAGGCAGTAAGGTCATTGATATAAAAGCAGAGTGAGTTGTTTTCACTGTGGCACAATTTGAGGGATAATAGGAAGGATTTTTTACCTCCCTCTTTCCCTCTCTCTCTAATTCTAGATGGGGTGGACTCTAACACACTCATCCCCTCCCTTTATTTTAAGAAAAGGAGAGATCAAAGAGTACCAAACACCAATCTCGTTCACTTTGGAAATTTGAAAATATCAGTCCTGAATTCTTTTCTCCTTTTCTCCACTCCCTTCCTTGTTCCTTTCTCTTTACTATGAAAATAAAACAAAACAATCTAACAGTATTTTATATTTTCAAAATGCTACATGGACTTCTCAGTTATTCTTATCAAAATACTTAAGGAGGAGTGGAATGATGAGTTCTACCTCCCAACTTAGGATATTGAAGTCAACACCAGAACTAACATGTTCATTTCACTCAATGGCTTAGAAATGGGTGGAGAGTGAACCCTAGATCTTTTGAAATTTCAGCCTGAGTCAAGCTAAGCTTCTAAAAACTGTTGCGTTGGTTTTGGGCGCACCTACAGTGTGCCAGGTATCTGCTGGGGACTTTATATACAAAATCTCGTACATCCATGCAATAGTTCTAGGATGATGTATTTTCTCTATCTTACAAGCTGAAATGGGCCAAAGCTGCGTAGACTGCTTCCCAGGTCATCCTACAGGCCTGGGTTTGACTCCCAAAGCCCATATTCACTCTACCATGCCGATTCTACAGTAGAAACAAAATTGTCTATAATTCTCCATGCTGACCCCCAATAATACTATAAATCAGGCCATTTCCTTAATCCATTTGTTGCCAGTGACCCCTCTGGGGTGCTTGGGGGTTTCCTGCAGATCCTCTGGGATTGTCTGAAGGTTAGATAATGTGTGGGCCATGTTGCCATCGAGGAATTTTCAACAACATAAAAGGAAAGACAAAATCGCGCATGGTAGCCAATTGCGTACTGAAATCAGCTCCTGGTTTTCTGTGAGCTTAAAGGGCTGTCACTTTTATGTCACTCTGAAAGAGAGTAAAGCTGGTTGAAACTGGGTAACAAACATTCAGGAAGTGAAAAGCCTATGCCACACCCTTAATGTGGTGTGCTAGGGAGGAAGGAGTAAATATTAACCAGAAGGCAAATACGGAAACATCCCAGAGGCAGTGCACGGAACGAAAATCAGTGAAGCTGGGTAGCAACAGCTAAGTTTGTGGACTTGGAAACAAGCTGAGGCCTGGGTTCAAATCCCTTCTCTGATACTTACTAGTTGCAGTCTACTAGGAAAATTACCTAACATTCTTAGCCTTAATTTTCTCTGTGAATCTGGGATGGTAATACAGTTACCCTGTAAATCTGGGATGGTAATACATTCCTCTGAGTCTTATTATGTAGACTGAATGAGGTAATGTATAGAGCATGTTTAGGGGAGTTACTAGCATTATTATAGGCTTAATCAATGGTAGCTCTTATTAGATGCAATTATACTACTATTAACCTATTTTCAGGCTCTTCTGTCAAATGTCTTCGCTATACTCATATTTCAAGCAAAAGTTGCATCAGGGTTTTCATTATATTATATATTTTTAACTTCTAGAATATGTTCTGTGGACACTACAGATGCAGACTAAATCACATGCAAAGAGAATCTGTCAGCCCTAACAATAACAATGGCTCTTGTATGATGAGCAGGTGAGACCAGGTAATCACCGAAGAAGGAGAGTGGTGTGTTCATTGAAGTCTACTCATGGAGGAAAGAAGGTAGGCAGAAAATCAACAGGTTTTCAAAAATATATGCAAAACAGGCTTTGGGGAGAATGCCAACCCTCAGTTAACCTAAGTCCCAGTCTTGGGTATGGGTATGCCGGTTAACTCACGTCCCACAAAAATGGAAACTTGGCAGAGGCTGGAAAACAGCAGCCCCAAGATACAGGTTCCTGGTTCATAAGAGGCAGGAGGAAAGCCGACACCAGCCCTTCCTGAAAAGAGAAAATGAGGGTATCCAATAGACAGCACGTGGTATCTGCGATGAATGTGGTGATTCTGGCCAGGTACAAAAGTCTACTGTGTCATGTGGGAGACCTTATTATGAAAAGGATATTGTGCCACTGGCGAGGCCTAGTGCAATACAGCTAAAGTGATTGGGGCACAAAGATCTGTGGATAGTTTAAAAGGGAAGTGAAAGCAGGCTGGTATTCTCCAGGAAAGAAGAGATTACGAGGAGGGGATTCACTGGTGACACTGCATTCTGATGTGAAAACAGAGAATAAAAGTGAAAAGGCTATTTGAGTTCATCGGTCCTTCTTTCTCCCTGACCCAGATCTGCTTTCCCAAGCAAGGCAGGACAGTCTGAAAGAACTGTGTATTAGCAAGGATTTATAATGTATGAGCATTTTTTAAAAGACTAAAAATTTACCTTGGATCAAACAAAGGAAAGTGAGAAAGAGAACAATGCAATATGTAATTAAGAAAAGGAGTGCCTACAGGAACAATTCTGATGATTTTGGCATAGCACCAAATAATTGGAGAAAAAAAAAAAGAAACCAAGAAATACACAATTAATATCCTGCAGAACTGGCTTTGGAGTCAGACACATGGGTTCAACCCTCACCAGTTAGCTTTGTGACTTCGGGTTGGTCCCTTTGATACTCTAACCGTTGGGAGCAACACAAGCCCCTAACCCATTGCATTTTTTGTGAAGATGACGTGGCCAGGTGCAGTGGCTCATGCCTGTAATCCCAGTATTTTGGGAGGCCAAAGCAGGAGGATCACTTGAGGCTAGGAGTTTGAGAACCAGCCTGGGCTGTATAGCAAAACCTCAGCCTCTACAAAAAAATGGAAAAAAAAATATTTGAAATCTGTAGTCCCAGCTACTCAGGCAGGAGGCTGAGATGGTAGGATGGCTTGAGCCCAGGAGTTTGAGGCTGCAGTGAGCTGCGATTGCCCCACTGCACCCAAGCCTGAGCAACACAGTGAGACCATGTTTCTGCGGGGGGAAAAAAGATAATGTGTATAAAATTCCTAGAATCAGGCCTTTCATGGAATGGACACCCGTGACAGGGTAACCATTATTACTGTTATTGTCAGTCTTGGTCTAGATATCATCCCTGCAGGTGGGTTCATTTTATGCATGAGGAGAACAAGGCACCAAGGCTCAGAGAGGTTACAGAATTTGCCCAAGGTCACACAGGCAGCAAATGTTGAAACTGGTATTTGATCCCTGTTTTGTCTGATGCATTCAGTCTCCATCCTGCCTTGTTACAGGTGATGAAAGGAAAAGAAAAAATCATACATGCTACCTGTGCTTAATCCATGCCTCCTTCATAGATATACATTTTTCTAGAAACCCAAATCATTAGCATATCTTTAGATGATTTCTATACCTGTGAGGGCTCTGTGAAAACCTGATTTATATTTGGAGATTCTGGGGAAATGAACATCCTCAAAAGCCAAAATAAGTGGGGTACGGGAGCTGCATGCATTGTAATCAGTTAAAAACAGCATTCAAGACAATGGCTCGGAGAGAGAGGCTTCAAGTGATTCACAAGTGACTATGGAGCCTCTCTGAAGATTCCTAAAGCTTCTGTGTGCATGGACATGTTTCTGCCCACAGCAAGATTACCGTCCCATAGGGGCATCTACTTACGTAAGCTGCTCTTCTTATTCACCATGTAAGGGAAGTTGTGGCCATCCCCTCTTCTTTCTTGCCTATCGTTCAGAGCCTAGATTTTGCTCAGGACAGTCTAACCCCAACAGTGGCTCCTGCTTGGCCTTAAGCAATCTTGATGACCCATTTCCCTTTGCCAATGATAGGTCAAGGATGTGCATGTGACCCAGTTCCAGCCAATGAGGTGTGAGGAAATGTCTGTAGGAAACTTCCTGGTTCTCTTTCTCTTGTGTTGATTGTGTTCAATATTCTTTCCTCAGTGATTTGGAAGAAGATGTAGCAGGCATACTCACATTTATGGAAGAAATCATTGGCATGTTTGATGGTAGAATCAGGATTCAAATTATACTGACCGGCCAGGATGTTAGGTCAACACCAACCATATGCAATTTAAGAGTAATAGAATCTGTATTTAACATTAAAAAGTCAGTTGTGTTGGTACAGGATTGGGGAGTTGCATTGACAGCAATTGAGTTGGAAAAGACCTGGGAGTTTTAATTAACTCAAAGTTCAATAGGATCCAACAACAAAACAGCTTATTTTTTAAAGCAATTTTAGGCTGCAGTAATAAAAGTCTTATTCTCAGTTGAAGGGCAGTGATGATCCTAATAGATTCTGTGAGGCTACATCTGGAGTATTGTGTACTCAGTTCTGGGTGAAAGAGTGAGCAATTACATACAGGAGGGATTTCAAATGCATGTCACACAAGGACTGGTTATCAGCATTTATCAGGGATAAATGCGAACAAAATGATAATATTTTACAGGAATAATAGTGACCTCCATCTATTTGACGAGCATTCAGGTGTAAAAGGGAGTAAACCTATTCTTTTTGCTCTATGCTTTAGTCAGCTATGGTCACATTAATACTATGTTGGCTTGTAACAACATCTATTTATCTCTTATGCATTCGCAGATAAGCTGGAGTTTGTCTGATCTAATGTAGGCTTGATTGGGCTTGGCTCCAGGTCATGACTGGGGTTCAGGTTTGCTCCATGTATTTCTTTTTCTTTGGGAATCAGTAGGTGCCCATGGGAATATTTTTCTTACAGTGATAGAAGAGGCACAAGAGGGTGCACGCATTAAAAGCCTCTGCTGATATCATGTCTGCCAATATCCATTGCCCAAGTTAAGCCATCCTAAATTTAAGGGACTTCAGCCACTATGAGGCCGTGGGAAGGGAACTGCATGTGTTCCTATTACAGAGTAGTGGAATAAATAATTTAATTTATTCCACTCCAGAGTAGCAGGTCAAAACGAGGGTCAGTGGTCTGAAGCTATAGGAAGATATATTTTGGTAATAAAAAACTGGATGCTCATTGGAACTGTCCAAGGATGGATGCAAATTACTGAAGTCTTTGTCCTAGAAGGGATTAGACAGAGTTCAATGGCTCATTTCCCAAGAGCATCCCAGATGGAATTCTGGTGTTATTTGGAAAGTTAGAGTTTGAGCCAGTCAGTATCTTTCCTACTGTAACATCCTCAAATTCCATAGTCCTGTTCTATCCCATACTCTTCCTTCTGACTCTGACATCCTGAGGCTTTTATTCTCTGTGCCATTCCTTGGGGAACCTAATTATATATGGCTTCTTTGTGTCTCTAAGAGATTCCATGAGTATTTCTTGTCTTCCTAATTGCTTTGGAAGCATTTCAATGTTGCAGGCTGAGTCTTAAATTTCTCTTGAATTGCTTATAGCCATTAGCTCGGTATCAGGCACCAAGCCTTTAGCATGGCATTAAATCATCACCCAACACCCAGTGCAGCCTCAAACCATCTTTGTAGCCTCTCTCCTACCTTTCCCATCTGATTATCCAGCCAATTTGAGATACCTGTCCTACGCGATACATAGCTCCTGCTTTTCAAGGCTTTGCTCACTTATAGACCGTTCTCCTTGTCCTCACATGTCTAGACCCCACCCATCCCACCCAGTGCAAACCAAGTGCTACCTTTTCCAAGATGTTTTCACTGATTCTCCAATCAGAAAGAAGTCTCTCTGACTTTTCTGAATGGTCTTAACACTTCTCATGGTATTTAAGATGTTTATGGTACAGAAAAGTGATTCTCAAATCTAACTTTTAATCAGTGATGACTTGAGAATACTTAAATCGTACATGCCCAGGTCCCATCCCAAGATGGTCTCATATTGCTACTCTGGAAACAGAAACTGCAAGTAATAGCAGTGTTAGCAATAAAGCAGGAACTCACATAGCAAAGCGTATGGAAATAAGTTATTCCAAGGTTGGTATGGCAGTTTAATGATGCCACCAAGAACCTAGGCTCTTTCTTCCTGATCTGCCATTCTCAATGTATCAGCAATGTCTTTCCTCATGGTTGCAAAACAGCTGCTATGGCTCCAAGCATCACATCCTTACACCAGCATACCAGGCAGGAACAAAGCAGGCATAGGAAAAGTGTTCTTCTCCCAAAACAAGCACCTGTGGCATATCTCTAGAGAGCTGAGTACAGTTGATTGAAATCTGCTGTACAGTCAAAAAAAATATTTCACCTGTGTTTTGGCATGTTGTCCAGAAAAATATTATCAGTGGCATGGCCAGCAGCAATGCTTAGATCAATGTATGTCAGCAAAGTAATTTTATCAAAAATGGAAATTGGCTGGTACACTATGATCTATTTCTGGAGAACCAGTATTGGGTGCTAGTAATTACTTTTCTTTTCTACCTGCTTGCCAACATTCTTTACCTTATAATTGTCAATAAGCAATATTAAAATAACGTCTAGTCTTGAGAATCTACTTTTTAAAATGTTTATGAAATTTCTCCTTGGTGAAATAGCATAGTGTGGTACAATGTGCTCTATGACGCTGGAAACTGTCAGGGCGCTCCTCTTGGACTTGACATAGTCTCCTTTGTTAGGTCCTGGATTAGGTTTCATTTATTCACCACCCTGGATCCATCCTGGCCTTGCTTTTGGATGGGAGGCCCTAACATCGGCATGCACCCTTCCCACTGTTGCAAAGCCTGCTTACTACAGTTTCCGCCAGTGTTATAGATGGAGGGGCTCACTGGGGCAGCAGCTCCCAGACTCTCAGGGTTATCAGGCACCTCCTCTCCCCTCTCCTGCATTATGTACCACT